AATATAAGAATATTGTAATATTAAATAAAATTACATAAAAAATATATAAAAATATATAACACATTAATATAATTATACCAATTCATTTAAAAAGCTTTTATTGCATTCTCAACTATAAACTACCATATAAATTTTTCGCTTCCAAAAGTGGTTAAAAAATAATTATCTCATTAATAAATCCTACTAATCAAAAATAAATTTATTTCCTTTTTTATTGTATTTCTATTTTATACTTGTATTTTAAGAGAAAAAAATAATATATTTTTTTATAAAAATTATGAAAATTTAATAATAAATATTTTTTAAAAAATAAAAAATAAAATTTGAACCTTAGGTTTCCCTATTTTCCGTTCATCTATAAAGAGACAATGGCAAGACAAATCTAATTGTTAGATGTCGACTTAGCGAAAACACCGACCAATAGTCGTGTGAAATGGATGATTCCTACTCATTTCAACAAAACGACGATGATTTTATACTGCATCCAGTTCGCGAATCTACGGAGAATATTTCTCGCATTAGGTTTCCAAGAAGAGAATCGAGAGCCTCTGCAAGGATTTCTCACATCGGTTATAACGAGGAAGTTTGGCAAATGTTCATGGATGACGATAATGTAATAATTGAGCACGCTCCCTCAACTGGTCACCGCTTGTCGGAATCTTACATTACTCAAAAACTCAAGACTAGAGTTCCTTGCAACATCAGAGACGAATATCAAATATGCACAATTTGTCAGTATCCTTTGTCTCATGGATTAGATAATATTGCGACACTCGATTGCGGACATGAGTTTCATGTGCAATGTCTTAAGAAGTGGTTGGTGCAAAAAAATTGTTGTCCTCTTTGTAAGGCCGTTGGCATTGACACAACTGAATGAGAATGGTGTATCGATGTCTTTTAATACATTTTCAATAAAAACTTTGAGGGTTTGTTTAAATATGTTTTAGAAGTGTTTTGGTATTTTGATGTTTGATGTTGACATAAATAGATATTGGATGTGATAGTTTAAATAAAAATGAATAGATTGTTTAAAAATATAAGTATCACGAAAATATCACATGATAAAAGGAAAATAATACTCCATTCGTCCCAAATATGGTGCAATATTTGTTTTCGGCACAAAAATTCAGTCCTAACATTTGGTACTCTGCGTAATGCAGACAATATTATACTTCGTGTTGAGTTGGTCCAGTGATGAGTCCATCCCACACCGCCAAGTCATTTCTTATAAAACTTTATTTTTCAAAATTCTACAAATACAAATGGTGTGTTTGGTTTTAGTTTTACATCCAAACCACTATTATTTAGATGGTATAATTTTTAATAAAAATGTACTCCCTCTTTCCGGCTATAAATTATACATATTTATATTTTGGGACGTCCAATTATAAAGTATTTATTTAATTAAATACTCTATTTTTTTTTCATAAATACCATTACTTTACTTCACATCTTTACTTTTATATCAAAAAATAAGGGCAAAAATGTCATTACACTACTTATACATATCCACTATAATTAAAATACTATTATTTTTTAAACTCCGCCCCAAAAATAAATGTATACTTCTTACTTGGACACGGAGGGAGTATTATTTTGTTTCATAGTATTAAAATATTATTTAAACTAAAATTTAAAGTAAAATCAAATAAACTCAAAAATAAAAAAATAAATTACAAAGCCAACTTGATTGAAATTAATTTAAAATGAAATGTTTATGTGAGTTTTTGTTTAAATAATACACTTTCCGTCCTCCAAAATTAGTCCATTTGTTCTTTTTGTCGTCCTTAGAAAATGTCACATTTTATAATATAGTAATAATTAAAAAATACTAATTAAAATAAAAAATTTAACTATATTTTATTAAATTATTATACCTCTAACTTTTATTATTTGTTTTGATTGTTTTAAAAGTTTAGCTAAATTTTTTAATAATAAAAATTAAATAAATATTTAATACTCCATATGATATAAATATGTATTTATGTAATGTTCAATATTTTAAATTAATTTTAATATAATATAAAAAATTAATATTTAATTTGATATTATAATTTAAAATTAGCTAATAGTGAAATTTAATTTTGAATTTGCTTTTATATATTTTACAAATAAAATAAAATATATTTATCAGCAGCGTCAAGTGAGAATGGAAAACATCAAATTGTTCAAATAATACATGTACCATATGGAAAGTATAAAAAATATTAAGATTATTGTATATTGTAAATTGTTATATAGTATGAAATGGTACTAATTTTTTTTAATACAGTAATTGTATAAACTTTTTTAGCTTTTTGGTGTTATATACCAAAAATATCATATATAATTTTGATATTTTAGTATTCGATATATCGGTATATATCCATAATTTTTCGTATGTTGATATCAAAATAATTAATTTTCTAAAATATTCTTAACATTATAAATTTTTTTTTTTTAATTTTGATATTTCAACATAAAATATTATATTCTAATATCGTACAATACGATTAGACATGGCTCGATATGGTACACCAACAGTATCATATTATATTATTGTATCAATTTTTTTTGTACATTAAAAAAATATATCGATATCGTCTCAAAATTTTCGATATACCAAAATGTGATATTTTCGATAATTTATGGTACAGTATCCACTATTTCGGTAGTAGTGTACAAAATTACTAGTACAATATCTCGGTACGGCAAAATAGCATATCAAAAATTTTGATAGTAATATATAATATAGATTTTAGTATATAATACCGAATCATCCCTACTAACTACCAAATTCAAAAATTTTAATATATTATTAATATTAAGAATATTATTGTTACGGTAATAATTATATTTAAACTATTAAAATTAATTTATTTATTAATTGCATCGATAGATATAGGCTAACGAATAGGGTATATGGGCCGATGGAGTTGGATCGAAGACATTGATTTACAATTAGTATAAATATATAATAATTTTTTAAAAAATAAAATAATTTCAATAAATACATACTCAATATTAAAAAAATTAGAATAAAATATATTTTAACTTTTATTTCAATATTTCATCAAATAAAAAATTAAAAATATCACTTTAGAATAAATATTATATCAAATAATCAAACTAACTAATTATATAAAAGAAAAGTCGGATCAATTTCAATGGAGTATATTAATGTTATATTTTATAAGAATTCAAGATTAAAATGGATTATTCATCAAATTCATAACTCTCTCCAAATCCGTGGTGAATATAAGTTTTAGAATCCGAACGCTGCTCCAGTAACAACAAAACCGGCGCCATCCCTAATGTTACGTATTCTCTCGATCCAATTAGAAAGTATATATATTTTTATTTTGGAATATTCAATTACAAAGTAACCATTTTATTATATATCTTGCTTTTTTTCCAAAAATATTCTTACTTTATATAATATTATTACTTTTACACCAAAAAGTAAAGATAAAAATATCGTTACACTATTTTTAACTACCTATTATAATTAAAATATTATTATTTCTTAAATATCGCGCCATAAAAATAAATATTTACTTTGTATATAAACGGATGAATATTTTATAAAGAAAAATAATATTCCCTTTCCCATACAATCATGTGCTCAAATATTTGAATATAAATTTTGATAAAAATAAATAATAATTTTTTTGTTAAAAAAATGAAAAGATATTTTTATAAGAAAATATATATATATATATTTGAATGATAAAAATAATGTTTTTTTAGGGTTTTAAAATATAAACTGAAAATTTTTATTATTATTTTCTAATTGTATTATTATGTTCTTAAAAGTAAGCCAAATAATACCTAATTTCCATATTTAGACTCCCTAAAAGTAACTCAATTATTGCTAGTGTCTGATAGCTTTGGTCCCACTGCTATATATATAGATTTATCTCTATCTATTCAATACCCAAAAACCACTCTTTTTTTTAATTAAAAATTTATATATATTTTTTTTTATTTTCTTTGCGGTGTAAAATCATGTCTATCAACAAACTCCTACTCACCAAGCATCTATCTCCAAAAGTCACTATCCTGACACAGAAACACAGACACACACCATATAATATACTAATAAGAATCTCACAATTTAACAAATTAATTAAACAACAAATAATAATTAGTAATAATAATAATAATAAAAGAAAAGGCAATGACATGAAGTACTGCAAATTTGCAACTGCACTTTCTAGGAAAGTGCAAAATCCCAAACTGACCACCATTTTCATAACTAAAATATTACTATTATAATAAAAGTGACAACTTGACCAGATTCTTCTTCATCGACCATTACAAAAATAACAAATATACGATGACAAATACAGACACGTAGTCCTCCCAGTATATGCCACACACTAGAATCTATCCGCCTACCACTCCAAAAATATTCACAATCTTTCTGTGATCTTTAAACCTTGTGTTGCACAAACCTATCTCATGTTTTATAAAATATTATACTACCTCATCCTTATATAAGAATTTTATTTATTTTTTTTGCTTGTTGATATTTGAATATTAATTATTATATAAAAATATAATCAAATTAAGAAAAAATGATAAAAATACTTATATATTATAATAACATTTATGCAAAAAAAAAAAAAAATACAAATATAAAAATATTTTTAATATTAAGTACAATGATTTAAAAGATAAATGGGAGCCTTAGAGCTAGACAGAGGAAGTACAAAATATCCTAAAAATTATGTATTACTTTCTTATATTTTTTACAATTTTGTACTTATTCCGTATGTTTACAAGAGTTGCATTTACATTTTGTATCATTGTATTTAATATTTAAAATATCTTTATATTTGAATAATTTTTTTTTTTTTTTTGTATAAATATCCTTCTAGATACTAATAGAAATACTTTTTTTTTTCATGTCCCCTGTATAAAAAACACAGGAGAATCTTATGTAATTTTTATATTAATGTAGACTTTTTAAACCACATGTATTTTTTTACGTAAGGCTCTTTCATCATTTTATTACATATAGACACAAAATATTTGACATATGCGTTTAGAACTTGATATATATATACATGTGTGTTGTGTTGTGTGTGTTTCTGTTCTAAGGATCTAGTGTTTCTTCGAAAATGTTACAGCGACGTACCTCTTGGAAATCGAGGCGTCGCGAGCTCAAGTGTGGTCTAGGCTACTGCAGAAATGCTACAAGTCCGGGGACAGTCGAATCCTTCGATCCTCACCGGGGCGGGATTGGACCCGAAATTGACCTGAGTGCATGAACCACTCCTGTGAGAAGTGGCAGATAAAGAAGGGCTGTTAGTATTGTTACCAAAGTTCTTGTCTTGGATGATTGGATTCGAGGCCCGGGTTGGAGGCGATCCGGCGAAGAACGGCGGGGACGATGCATGGAGGAAACTGGGCCACTCAGAGCTTGGATTCCCCTAATGGATGGAATAAACGCATGTAAGTTGTGAGTAATAATTGAAAAGATGAAAGTAAATAGCATGAGTGAGACAGGGGTGATAGGATATCATATGGGAAGGCATCTAATGCCTTGTGCACCAAAAATTGGAAAATAAAATTAAAAAAATTAAAAATTAAAAAAAAATTTGGAAGAATAACTAATTCTGGCACACATGCTTTGGCTAACTAATGATTCTTGCTACCTCCTCTACATTCTTGACAACAAAATGGCATGGAAATTAGACAGGTTTGTGCAGTTAATGTGACAGCATAAACACAATGGTGTTTTTCTTTTAAGTTTTAAAAGGCTGTTTTTGGTTGTATGTATTGGATTGGATTTCTATTACTCTCTCTTGTAGGTTATTATGTCCAGTCTACCGGACACGGAAATTTAGTAATTTAGTAGAAGTAAAATTAATAAATAATTAAGAATATATTAAAAAAAAATAATTATTTTATAATAAATATAATTATAGATGAAGATAGATAAGTAATCTAATTAAAATAAAAATCTATATATAAATTTAAAAAAATTGAAATAAGAGTAAAGTGCATAATTTATTTTTTTTAAAAAAAGTGACCAAATAAATACGAGACAGAAATAAAAATATGAATATAGTAAATAAAAATGAGAAAGTATTTCATTAAAAAGATTCAAAAGAAATATCGAATTAAATATTTTTTATTTTTTATATTATAATAAAAATTAATTTTGTATTCAAAATATCATGTTAATACTTATCTAACCATATCAAACAGGTATTGTAATTCAAAATTTTAATATTAAAAAATTCAAAACTATTCTCAAACATACAATCAAACAATCCTTAAAGGTTGTATCCCATTTGCATTTTTTTAGTTTTTTTTTTTTTCTTAATAAAAATTTACTAATTTTTCATACAAGATTCAATCACTCTACTGTATACAATATATATAATTAAAATCTTCAAATTTTATTTAAAAACATAATCATATTTCAATTTCTAATTTTACCATTTCATTCCAAGCCAAATAATTATTTATAAAAAAAATAAATAAATAAAAATAAAAATCATACAGTTTTAATTAACAAATTATTTAAATAATCTTGAATACAAATAAGCTAAAAACACACAGACATGCACCCCTACATCATCTATCAGTAGCCTAAGATTGACTTTAGAAATATCACAGATCGAGTCAATTTTTGCTGCTACAGGGTCTAATTGACCCTACAGTCATATTAAATTTGTGCCAAAATGCTATTTGCACAAAATCTAGGGACGTCAATCCTAAAATACACCCAAAACCCCAAGAAAGGTTTTCCCCCTTGGCCTTGGAGCCATGACAAGAGCATAAAATCTGCTAAGCAAAGTACGCATGGAGCAAGAAAAGCTCAAAAACAAGATTGTATCACTTCTAAATATATTGGATTTCTTCTATTTTGGCTTGAAATTGGAACGATATTTGAGATTAGATTTAAATAATATTTTATGTAATAATTAATAAAAATATATTATATTTATATCAGAATTATAAAAATTAAATAATAATTTTTTTTATTTGAAATAAAAAAACAAAATTACCAAGTAAAACCCATTAATTGTTAGAGATAATCAATAGAATAGGTTCTTTTTAAAAATAAATATGTTTAATTTGTGTTTTTATTTAGTTTCTTACATAATTTTTTAATTTAAATACTAAAAAAAATTATTAAAAACAATAAAAAATTAAATACTAAAAAAAATTACTTGGAAGTAAAATACAAACAAACTCAAATATTAAAAACAAAATATATCAAGCAACACTATTATAATAATTTTATATATTTAAATATATTACACATCCACCTAATATTTTTCCTTAAAACAATAAATATTTTTATAATACCATCACTTATTTTTTCATTTAAAATTTCAGCTTTAAAACCTGTATTAGTTCAATAATAATAATAATAATAATAATTCAAATCCATACTGCAGCCAAACGAACTTCCGTATTCTTTTAACTACCCTTAGGTTTCCCTTCCTAGTTTCAACCAAGCACCAAAATACTGAGTAAAAGTAGCATTAATTTCTGAACAGAGAATCAAAACCAACTAGAACAGAGCATACCTTCGTTTGAATAATATCCAGAAGCTCTGTCGCCGCTCTCGCGTCATACGCCTCAGTTTGTTGATTACTATTTTAACAAGAAGAAGAAGAAAGAAATTAGAATTTTCCAGTATTTGATATCAATACGAAGATGAACAGAAATCAAGAAATCATCAGAACCAGAATCCTACTTGATGTGGAGCAATCGCGAGGGAGGTCTCAAAGGCTCGTAAAATTGCATCGGTACACCAATTCTACGAGGCTTGGGACAAACAACTCCATCCGCAAAGCAACTCTCCATCAAGGTGTTCCGTTGATATGCGTAACTGTTCATCTTTCGTCTCTTTTTTTCTCAACAAGCACAGATCTAAAACCTGAGAAATCTAATTTAGAAATCAATTCGACCATTGAACATCCAAGGAGACCAAATAATTTGCCTATAAACACACACACGTACATACAGATACTACAAGAGGTTAAACAAACGGAGACAGAACCTAAAAACTAGCCAGAAAAAAAATAATAATAAAAATTACACAACCAAATTTCCATATGAACAGAATACGCTGCCAATCCACGAGCTCACACAAATACGTACAGGTCTCAATCAGGCATAAATAATCAAACAAAAACAGTACCGGAATAACTAACCAGAAACTTGCAGATGCAAAAGAATTCGGAAAACTGAATATACCTGAAGATTTGTGGTTCAGATTGACCTTCTCTAGAGAGAAGCAATAACCGAAGAGACTGAGACGATGAAGGGAAAGAGAAAAATGGAGTCAGGCGGCTGACGAACACTTTATAGCAAAACTTTTGAGGCTGAACGTCTGCACCACGAGCTGTCTCCACATTCCGACCGTTGGATCATTTTTAATCGTATTAATAGTAAAATAATAAATAAAAATAGAATAGGGATCATTTTTCAAAAATTTGGGAACCCAATGTTAATTGAAATTATGAAACGGTACTCTATTAAGGGCAACTCCAACCTCTGCAAATTGGGTAAGGGCTTCAACCCACTCTCAAATTTTCCCCACATTTTTGTAACTTGTTACAGTGTTACTTTAAAAATAGAGTGGCATTGTACACTTCATTATATTTTTGGAATAGAGTTTGTGTGATATTTTGTGATATTTGTGTATTTTTGTTATTTTTTGGAATATATTGTAAATTTATTTATTTTTTTAAATAATACTCCCTCCGTCCACCGATAAAATATACATTTACTTTTAGCGCAGAGTTTAAAAAATAATAGTATTTTAATTATAGTGGGTAGGTAAAAGTAATATAATGACATTTTTGCCCTTGCTTTTTGGTATAAAAGTAATGATGTGATGTAAAGTAAGGGTATTTGTGGAAAAAAGTGGAGTATTTAATGAAATGATTACTTTGTAATTGAACGTCCCAAAATAGAAATATGGATACTTTGTAGCTGGACGGAGGGAGTATGTAATTTTATTTTTTTGAAAAATTATGTATAATTTTATTTTTTAGAAAGTGATATAATTTTATTTTTTAAAAATAATAATAATTTTATTTTTTTAAAAGTAAATATAATTTTACATTTCGAAAAGTGATATATAATTATATAATTTTTTAAAAATAATGAGTAATTATATATATTTGATTTATATTGTAAAAATAAATTAAAGTTGAGGTGTAATTTATAAATATAAAAAGTTATATAAAATACTAATATAAAAGAAGAATATATATGGAATATATTTTTTAGAGTGAAAAATTGAAGTTTATGGTTAGAGTAAAATTACTGCAAGATCAACTGTATTTTTACTGTAGCTACTGCAAAAATGAAAGAATGAGTCGGAGATGATCTAACTGAAATTATATGTTTGTTGTTGCGAAAAAAAAAAAAATCAGTTTTGACGGTGTAATCGAAAAAGTGATTTTAAGCCTTTTTTAAGAAATGATCTGTTCTATCTTATGATATCCTAATAATTAAAGTAATGAAGAAAACAAAATAAGACTAATAAAATAATAACGAATTGAAAAAGTATATATATAGTAAAAAACTAATGTTGTTCTTTGTAAAAAAAAAAATAATAGAAAAATTGGACTGGGCCGTGGATGACTTTCGATCGAAGGTCACCTCATTTTGGATTGTACTTGCACTGGGCCGGTTCCAATTACTTTATCCGTTCCATATAATTTGTCTATATTTTTTATTTTCGTTCGTCCGATAATTTGTCCTTTCTATTTTTGAAAATATAATTATGTATTTTAAATTTTAAAATTTATAATTTTTTTAATTTTAATTAAACTATTTACTTATCTTAATCTTAATCTATAATTATTTTTACTAAATAATAATTATTTTTACTAATACAATTTTTAATTACTTACTAATTATACTTTACCTAAATTCTCGTGTCTACGGTAATACACTCATATTACATGGGACGGAAGAAGTATTATTTAGGTGTGTACAATGTTGAATCAAGTTGCTTGCCGTTGCAGTGCTAATTTTAATATAACCAATATTGTATTGATATCACAATAATATATATTATTCTATAATATTAAATATAAATTTATAATATATGTAAAATAGAAATTACAGCACCTACTAATAATTTATACATATATCATTTATTTTTTTGATTGGGACAATCAACATAGCAGTGTTGATAAATCGTCAAAGCATCGTAATATATTGTGTGGATTGAAATTATATATTGATGTTGTGTTAATTTTTATTTATTATGTTGTGATAATTGAAAATATATCCGGAAGCTTCCTCTCTCCCAGCAAGCAAGACGAGATCACCATTTCTCTAAGTAATGAACTTCCTTGAATTCAAAGTAGGGGGACGGGTTTACAGCTAATGTTGGTTTTGGCACCATCCTTACGCTGTGTTAGTTCGGGCATGCCGGGCTCTTATGCCGTATTTCCAGGAGTGTATTGTCCATCAACATTTTCGAGAATCTAATCAGGTTGCAGATGGTCTAGCCCATAGTCCATATGGGACATGATATTCCGTTTGGTATGCAAGAGTTTACATCAACGTCATCGGAAGTTTACTATAGATTGCTTTTTGATTATGTTGGTAGCTCTGTAGGCCGTAGAGTAGCTACTACATCACTATTTTTTTAAAATAAAAAATAAAAATTAAGAGATATTTTGTATCTCAATATCTCTGCAGATATCCTGTGAAATATTATCCAATTGTTATGTGTCCCAATTTGATTGGGACACGTGGCACTTATGTATATATATATATATAATATTATACTATATGTTTTGTTTTTGTAATTTATATTGAATTTATTGTTATATTTAAATTTTGTAATATTTTTATAATTCATAATATTTTGTATTCTACAAAATAATATCGATATTGAATACATTTTATGAATTTAAATTTTAAAATATATAAATACAAATATTATATAATTTTATTGAACAAATTAATATTAATAAATTTAATTTAATTTATTAAATAAAATATACTTATAAATTTTAAAGCAATTAAATAATATAAAATTGTATTAAACAATAAATATATTTAATTTATAATTAATTATACATGCATAATTAATAATAAATAACATAACTTTTTCCTATAATTAAAAAATAATATATATAATATGAAAATAAAAATTTATTAAAAAATTAGGATGAGTATCTTTGTTGCGAATATAAAATAGAAGAGAGTATATCCGACATGGTAGAAAGAGAAAATGATGTGAATAATAAAAAATAGTAGAAATACCCTTAAGGGGGTATCTCCACATAGATGGTCTTATAGAGTATGTTATACAAATATATTTTTTGTGTTAAAATTAATTATAGAATATAGGTATACAATTATAGACCGTTATCATACGACGTCGGTTTAAATATTGTATTTATATCATATTAAAATTGTTAGATAATTTGAATGACCGTTTCACTTAAAGTTTATATCCCGAGTGTATGTTATATGTTGTTTTTTTTAAAAAAATATATATATTGATACTCTAAAAAAATATGTCTATTACTTTATATAGTATATATTGTACTTCCTTTGTTCCAATACAACAGTCCTGTTTACTATTTTTATTTGTTTCAAAACAATAGTCTCATTTCCATAAATAACTATATCACTATAAAATTACTATTATTTTTTTATTATTATTACACAATTATCACTATTTTTTACACTAATACACTCATAATAGCAAAAAAATCTTTTACCTGTATTTTTAATTCACTGCCAATATAATATCAATATTCTTTAGATCTTATGCCAAACACAACCCAAACTATATTTTTTGGACGGAGGGAGTACTTTATAGAAATATATATCGTCTCATACTATGTTTGTCTTAGCATTCACTTCTCGTATTGTATGATTTGGGGAATTAGCTCTTGATTTAAGTTAAATAAAAGTGTGTTATGTGTTTATCTTTAAATTGATGCTTTAGAAAAATATATCTTTGTGCCCTTTGTGCTTTATAAAAATATATTTAAGGGTGTATGTATGTGTCTTGAGAGATTGGATTTTGTGTTTATATTTGAATAGTAAAATTTTTTAATTTGAATAATTTATAATATAATATAGATAGCTATTAATCTGATATTTTAAAAGTAAAATTAATTTTTATTATAATATAAAAAAAATAATAATAATAAACAATTAAAATTTTTGAAAATCCTACAAATTGAATACACCCTTAACGGTTTATAGAAGCATATTGCTTAATGCATATATATTTTTTATAGGGTAAATTGTTTTTTCAATTCCGTAACTGGACCCCTTTATCATTTTAGTCCCGTAAGTGGAGCCTGTCGCAAAGTAGAACCATAAGTGAAAAATTTTCACTGCTTTAGTCCTCCGGTGCCGGAGATGTCCGCGTGGCTCACCGGAAGTGATGTGTCCGCCAGGTGTCGCTAACCTGGCGGACACGTGGATTTTTTTTTTTTTTCATTTTTTAAAATTTTTTTAAAACTTATTTTTAATTTATTTTTAATTTTATTTGTATTTTTTTATTTTTTTATTTGGTACAATTAAAAAAATTTTAAAAAAATGAAAAAAAAACAACGAAAATTTTTTACTTATGGGACTAGTATGCGACAGACTCCACTTACAGGACTAAAATGATAAAAGGTCCAGTTACGGGACTAAAAAAGAAACAGTTTACCCTGTTTTTTATATTGTGTTGGTAATTTTTCCAATAGCATCAATTCAATAGTTCTTAAAATATTGATCAAAAGTCCAAAAATATATATTTTAAATATAGTGCATACTATCTGAATTATTGACCAATATTATTTGAAATTTTTGAACAGTGATTTGATGTTACTTAAGAAAGTTAGCACACGTTGCAATATAATATTACTTTCGTTCGGTTATAAGGGTCACATTTATTTTTTGCGTGTTGATTTTTAAATATTAATTTGTTGATGTAATTTTTCAACAAAAATAAAGTAAAATTCAAAGATATAGAAAATATCCTTAAACTTGATTAATTAGTGCCTGAGATTAGGAATCTCTAAACACTGTATGGTACAGAAAATAAACTGGAAAATAAAAGACTGAAATTTAAAGTGGTGATCCCCAAATCTGACTTTGCTTTGTTGAAGTTGATTGAAGATGCCTTGCCAAATGATGACTTCGTCCTTAAATATTCTCTAGGAAACTGTACTGAAAACCGTCGCCCGAACGGTTACAACGTCTCCTTCCCAACCGTCTTCCAACCCTTCTCCTGCTGACACGTGTCCTCAGCAGACCAAAATTATCCCTATATTTCACTCTTTGAGCCGACCACAGACCTTCCGCCCTTTTGGCCCGACTTCGTCCTTCGCCCGACCTGCTTCTTCGCCCGACCTCACTTGGGCCGACCTCCGCATCAGCCGC